GCCTCGCAGCCAATGGGCGGCCGCGCTGGCGATTTCCTCCCGCCCCTCTTAAAAACACGGCGGAGGGGTGTACCCCGACTGAACGGTAGCAGCTCTTAGCTCCCAGAAACAGGTGTTCACGCACCAGCGCCCCTTCTCCTTGGCTGTGCTCCTCTCTTGCTTCATTTTCTTCCTCAAGGGCTTTCCTCCAAACGGCTCCTTTTTCATGCCATTAATGAAAGGTCTGTTGACTTTAAGCCATTCGCCGGGCAGTGTGCGAAGTCAAATAAGCATCTTTGCCGTTGAGAAGCTTAAACTGTAGTTCCGGAGACAAGGCCTCTAGCATCTCATATGAAACTGTAAGTAATAATATAAGGCAGTTTCCAGATGAGTTCAGATGAAAGAGAACATTTAACCCGGCGAGACCAGAGAAGACTTTATCATCCATTTCCTTAGATTATTTATTCCTATTACATTTCATATGCGGTAGACTTAGTATGCACCTCAAATTGAACATTTATTGAGCTTTCTTCAAGAAACTTTTACTTTTGTTGAGAGTAATCAGATATATTAAAAGTCTAACTGCTATTAAAACGAAAGATGAGCCTAGCCCTCGTGGCTCAGCTACTGATGAATCAGGAGGTCAGGGCTCCATTCTGGTCAGGGCACATTCCCGGGTTGCAGGCTCCATCCCCCGGTAGGGGGAGTGCAGAAGGCAGCCGACCAGTGATTCCCTCTCCTCATTGATGTTTCTCTCTCCCTCCTTTTCCCTCTCCCTTTCTCTCTCCCTTCCTCTCTGAAATCAACCAAAAAAATTCTTTAAAAAAAAGTTGAATTCCAGTTGGTAAGAATGAGGGGAGGGTTAGAAAAGAAGCTCCTCCATCCAGGTGGACATTAGAAATTGAGTCAGACCTTGAATAAATATTTATTGAATAAGAATTCATTGAGGAGAAGGGTAATCCCAGAAGCAGAAATAAACAGGAGCTATTTTAATTGATATAAGCATTTAATTTTTTTTGCTGAATTTGCTTTGGCATCATTTCTTGACTTTGTATATTCTCTAATACCATGCAAATCGTTCTTGATTGAAGCTTAGAGGTTACACCTCCTTACTCTTAGACCAGCCATCTTGCCGGGAATTTATCGCATGTTAGTCACTGACATAAACCTGTATGGCTTGTAAACCTGACTTTACTAGGCTATTTTAACTTAGATCACTTAGTCTCTCTGTGTTTTACACTCTCCAATCTGGGCAGATGATAGTTTAAGCCATATGAAATTGCTGATAAGTGATCATTTTTGATGTACAGAAATGGCTACTTCCCATGGTTTCATCTAATATAGCTTTGACCACATTGGGTGGGTATGAGGAATTAATGAGAGAACTTATGAAAAGCCCTTAGTACAATGCTTGGCTGATTGTAAACGCTCAGTAACTGAGAACTCCTATTATTATTTTAAAATGTATTTTTATTGATTTCAAAGAGGAAAGGAGAGGGAGAGAGAGATCAGCTGCCTCCTGCACGCCTCACACTAGGGATTGAGCCTGCAACCCAGGCATGTACCTTGACTGGGAATTGAACTGTGACCTCCTGCTTCTTAGGTTCATAGGTTCATAGGTCGACCCTCAACCAGTGAGCCACCGCAGCTGGGCAAGAACGCCTATTATTAATGCCCTGCTCTTTCCTCCTTACAGTCCAGTTTTCACAACATTGATAAATTTATGACATGAATTTACAGCAACACTTATTTTTTTAAAAATATTACATATGTAAAATCATTTACTCTTCACAGCAACTCAGATAGATAAATTTTCAAATTTTGTTAAAAATCTCACTATTATACTGTTGGGACCCCAATCAAAACCTAGATTATTCACCTTCAAACTCCTTACTCTTCCCTACTGCAATTTACAAAAGTGCGTTTGTTGTTGTGATTTTAATTTTTGAATGTGTGTGTACATGATTTGTATGCTTTTTATGCCTGCATAGCTTTTTTTCCCTATATATTATATTTAATTATACCCTTGTGATGGCACCATAGTTTTGGGAGAGGGAAACTTAATCTCGTATTTTCCATGCTCCCCTTTAAAACCACTCTCCTCACTTGGCTTGTAAGACACTACATTATTTTCTCAAAATAGTTGTTCCCAGAACATTAAAAAAAAAATTACAGTGTACTCTTGGAAGCCCAACAGGGGCTAATGAGCTGTAAGTGTTTCTATTACAGCAGACAGTGAAAAGGTCTTATGGTCTAATGGTCATAGGAAGGTCTTGTTGTTGCAGGAAGTGATCACATTTTCATTCACTGTTTTACTTTATACCAGAACCAACAACATTTGAGAATAAATAGTCATTTTACCTTATTAAGGGACCATCTGCTATATTTTATTCTTAAGGTAAAATGGATTTAAATTCTCAAATTTTCCTGAAATTACTGTAATTGCTATGTTTGTGTTACCATATTCAGGAACCACTAATTGGGTCATGGCCACTCTAGAAATGAGGGTTTTTAAAAGAACTTCTTTAGGATTTTTCTAAAAACTCAAGTTCTTTGGAAATAGTGCAATTGCCACTGTATTTGTCATAAGATTTGGAGGTTTGGAATATATCATGAACAAGTGCCGAGGAGTGGAAATAACCACAATGTTTTCTGAAGACAAGAAAGGGAGTTGCCTACCTTGAGCAGGGATACCCCCTGAAGGTGAAGGGGATGTGGATGTGATTAATGGAGGACCATTATCATCTAGCTGAGGCTTTTGGACTTGATTTAAGAAACCTCTTGACCTTGACTAGAGCAAAGTCTTGACCCCCAAGGAAAACACAAGAAAAAATATATACTTAAAAATAATATTTATTCAATAGAAATTTCTCAAGTGTCCAATACTTGTCAGGTGCTGGATGAGGCACCACACATTCTCAGAGACCAAAGTGAGACTTTATCCCTGTTT